TAAATGTTTAAAGGGAATATCTTTGTAATTTTAAGTCAATTTCGATGCCGTTCAAAAGGTTGGCTCGATTCACAACGGTATCTTTTAAAACTTTATCAGGTCACGTAGTTGAGATCTCGTCATAATTCTTGTTTGAAAGACGTTTAGTTTTGGCCCCTCCCCGACTGCTTCTGCAGTAGTAATGTGCCATTAATTGTAAAAGAAGAACCATTATTGAAATAAATCAGTTTTGGAAGAGAAAAACATGGAAAACTATCTATTTCATTTAAGATGACAAAGTTGTTAAGGATTTCGTTGTTGTTGGACCTTCCACTTGAAATAGAATGAACAGTCTCTTTAATTGACGAGTTGTTTACCTGATAATAAATACAGTGATTAACCAGAATAAAATACCGAGTAGGATTCCTCCAATTACTGCCGGAACAACCATATATATCTTAGCAGCAACCTAAACAATACTATTAGAATAGATTGGAATAGAATAGAATAGAATAGAATAGAACAGAACAGAACAGAACAGAACAGAACAGAATAGTATACAATAGAACAAAATAAATTACAATAGAATAGACTAGAAAAGAATAGAATAAAATAGAATAGAATAGAATAGAATAGAAAAGAATAGAATAAAATAGAATAAAATAGAATAGAATAGAGTCGAATCGAATCGAATAAAATAAAATAGATTTAAATAGAATAGAATAAAAGAAGTTAAAGGAATGGACCAATTTTTGTTTATCTTTAACTTTATAATTATCTGTTAACAATTTCCGATCTATGAGTGAGAAAGAAAACCCCTGTATATATATGTACATTGAACATGTTTAAGAAAGTTTAAACCACGTTTGGAAAAAGACAAGAAAAAAATGCAGCAAAAAAACTTTGCACACCTTTTTGCTATCCAAAAATGTATACAATGGTATACATAAGGATCACAATAAGGAAATAAACAGAAGTTCCTGGGACCCCTCCTCTTTTATCATGAACAGATAACAGTCCCTTTAAATATGTACATAAACAGGAAGCAGTCCCTTTAAATATGTATATAAACAGGAAGCAGTCCCTTTAAATATGTATATAAACAGGAAGCAGTCCCTTTAAATATGTAAATAAAAAGGAAGCAGTCCCTTTAAATATGTTAATAAACAGGAAACAGTCCCTTTAAATAAGTAAATAAACAGGAAGCAGTCCCTTTAAATAAGTTTACCTTCTCCAAGAATGCTGTTCTTGCATTCCAAGGTCGAGGAATTTCTGTAAGTCCGTTAAACTAGACAAATAAACAAATCATAATGACAATTAGACAAATATACAGATCATTCTAGACAACTAGACAACTTGATGGACAAATAAACAAATCATTATTGACAATTAAACAAATATACAGATCATTCTAGACAACTAGACAACATGATAGACAAATAAACAAATCATAATTAACAAATAGACAAATGACAAATCATAGCAGACAGCTGGACAAATCATAATAGACAAAGACAATTAGATACATATACAAATCATAGGAGACAGTTGGACAAATCATATTAGACAACTGGACAAAGCATAGGAAACACATGGACAAATCATATTTGGCAACTGGACAAATCATAGTTGACAGCCGTACAAATCATAGTAGACAACTGGACAAATCATAGTAGACAACTGGACAAATCATAGTAGACAATCATGGAAAAATCATCTTAGACGCATAGACAAATGGACACATAATTACTGACTACTTGACAAATTTAAAACTCATTCTACACAAATAAACAAATCATTCTAGACGAACAGAAAAGACTAGAACAAAATCAGTAAAAATGAATAAAAAAACTTCAAAATAACAAATACTGGTAAATTTCCAAGTTACGTGAAGATGTTGCGTAACTATACCTGTAATCCTGAATAGTTCTGTGGAACCTTGATAAACCCTGTAACGATATCATATTCATAATATTCATATTCGTCCTCCACTAGACCTGCCAGCACATCCCCACCAACCTCATCCTCAGCCTCCAGTCCGTAATCAACGAGGTCGGAGTAATCGTAATCATCCTCTTCAGCCTCAACAACACTAAAACAGAGTTATGAGGTCATGAGGTTGAAAATTTTGAATTGTAAACGTAATTTAAAGTGACCCTCTAGTAGCAAAAAATAATTGGTATGTCAAATTCACAACGGTAGGCTTTTCTGGCCTGAAAAAAAATGTTCAATTCTATAAATTTCGTCTTTGCTTTTAACAGCAAAAACTGCTCAAGTTAGTTTTGTAGACAATCTGCAGAAGAAATTAAACACAAACAAACTGATATCTAATTCATATAATTATTCGACAAAGCTTTTAAGGGTATCCTTGTGAATAGGACATGGCACCCTTTCAATAGCGGGTCCCTTTAAATTACGTTTACAGTCCCTTTAAGAGTGAATATAAAAATTTCTCGGTGGATTTGGACCTTAACAAACTTATCTTCACAGCTTTAAAATATGATATTAAAGGAAGAGTTCGTAAAAAATGCAGGGGAGAGATAATTATGAATTAAGTACCTTATTATTCGGTAATATTTTCATTTCTATCTGATGTTAAGTCTTTGCCACAAACTTTGATGTCCATTCCCTTTTTCTTCGCAACCTGGTGGTGTAAACCTTTGATATTTCAAACTTAAATTAAATGTCCAACAGAGTTTATACTTTGAAATATCTAAGGTCTACGACATTGGGTTGCAAAGATAGAGGTATTAAAATATCAGAGTTGGTTGGGAAAACGTAATTCCTTTGACGTTTTTAAATAAATAATAAATGAATTTACCCTCCGCTCTTAGAATCCAGATCAAGTACAAGTTCAGTTTCAGATTTAATCTCAGTTTCAGATTTAATCTCAGTTTCAGATTTAATCTCAGTTTCAGATTTAATCTTAGTTTCAGATTTAGAGCTAATTCCAGATAAAAGTTCAGTTTCGTCTTGTTGTGTGTGTAGATGATCTAACTTATTTGCATCTGTTGCTTTCAAACCTTGATCTAATATCAGGTTATCCTTATTTTCAGACCCTTCGTTGTCACTAGAATCAATTTTTTCACTATGAGAATCACTTCCTTCTGGATTTCCCTTTCTTTGCAGATTATCAATTTTTGCATCTTTAATTCGCTCCAAGCCTAGGATTTCACTCAGTCGGTTTCCCAATTCCTCGCTTATTTCCGGGTCTAAAGTAGATATTTCCGGATCTAAAGTGGATATTTCCGGATCTAAAGTGGATATTTCCGGATCTAAAGTGGATATTTCCGGATCTAAACTAAAAACTTTAGAATATAATGAAGATTGGTCTAGATGTATTGTGGATGTTTCTGACAAAGTCTCTGTAGGGAAAGAATTAAGATTTTCGTCAGAATTCATATTTTTCAATGTTGCCGGACCGAGAACTAGATCAAGGAGTGTTTTTCTTTCTTCCTTCTCCTGATCATGCTTATGTAAATCTTCAAGGTTCAAGTCTAATTTCTCTAGATTTAAGCTCGAACTAGGTTCAAATTTCTCCAGGTTTGAGCCAGAACTAGGTTCAGATTTCTCTAGGTTTAAGCTCGAACTAGGTTTAGATTTCTCCAGGTTTGAGCTAGAACTGATGACCGTTGCTGCGTCATTAGGGGTCAGAACTGGGACAGGGATGGATCTAGCCTGACGAGCAATGCGACCCATTTTTTGAACCATTATTCACTTTTAATTCATTGAGCTCCAGGTATCCTGAAATGAAATTGAACTTCAGAAAACACATAATTTAACTATAACGATTTTACAAGCTCAAGTCCCCCCCCCTCCTCCCCATAACTTGAACCCTTTGCACCCTTGCTAGGTGAGAAAAATGCGTAACCAACAATTTATATTATGAGATTGGTCCGGGAGGGGGGGGATATAATCAGAGGAATGGGATTTTGTGCTAATGGTTTTCTATAAATAATTGCTTTATTAGAAAGAAATAAAGTTTCTTGTTTATGATTTGTGAAAATTTTACTTTCCATTCCTCCAAATAAAAATTGCGCTTTGGATTGTTAAAAATTAGGCAACATTCAAGTTATTTTTTTTGTTTTTCTGTAAAATTTAAACAAAAAATGGGAGAGCAATTAAAACTAAATTTTTGAACTGAATCTTGTTGTGACAGTACTGTACAGAGTACACTGATGGTGAGTGGTGACTGCGTATGCTGTTGTGTACAAATGAGTGTGGTGCAGTATGTTCAGAACTACTGCGTTGTGAACTATTGAAATATCTTTACTTTTGGATATTTAAATTATTGAAAATTTAAAACTATTGAATATTCGAACTATTGAATATTTTAACTATTGAATATTTGAACTATCGGATATTTGAACTATTAAATATTTAAACTATTGAATATTTGAACTATTGAATATGTGAACATATCGAATATGTGAACATATTGAATATTTGAACTATTGAATATTTGAACTATTGAATATTTATATTGTTGAACATTTGAATTGTTGAATATTTAAATTGATGAATATTTGAATTATTGAATATTTGAATTATTGAATATTTCAACTATTGAATATTTAAACTATTGAATATTTGAATTTTTGAACTATTGACTTTTTGAACTATTATATTTGAACTTTTGAATATTTGAACTATTGAATATTTGAACTATTGAATATTTGAACTATTGAATATTTGGACATATTGAATATTTGGACTATTGAATATTTGAACTATTAAATATTTGGACTATTGAATATTTGAACTATTGAATATTTAAAATATTGAATATTTGAACATATTGAATATTTGATCTATTGAATATTTGAACTATTGAATATTTGAACTATTGAATATTTGAACTATTGAATATTTGAACTATTGAATATTTGAACAATTGAATATTTGAACATATTGAATATTTGGACTATTGAATATTTGAACTATTAAATATTTGGACTATTGAATATTTGAACTATTGAATATTTAAAATATTGGATATTTGAACTATTGAATATTTGAACTATTGAATATTTGAAATATTGGATATTTGTACTATTAAATATTTGTGCTATTAGATATTTGTACTATTGAATATTTGAACTTTTTGAAATTAAATTGATCACATTCTTATTTTTTTAAGCAAATCCATTTTTTAAGAAGATTAATTACTTGATACTTCAAGGTCATTTCTATTTTTCCACTAAGGATTATGATATGAAAACGTAGGGTAGCGTCAGTTTTATTGAATACACTAAATTAAGGCTATGGAGTACTTATTGGTAGGATGGGGTGAGCGGGGGAAGGCAGGCGGCCATGAACCACGACTTATCCTCTTCCGTACCACATATATGTAAGTACGTATGAAGGGTAGGACGGTAAAGGTAAGTACGTAGGAAGGGTAGGACGGTAAAGGTTAGTACGTAGGAAGGGTAGGACGGTAAAGGTAAGTACATAGGAAGGGTAGGACGGTAAAGGTAAGTACGTAGGAAGGGTAGGACGGTAAAGGTAAGTACGTAGGAAGGGAAGGACGGTAAAGGTAAGTACGTAGAAAGGTTAGGACGGTTAAGGTAAGTGTAGGTAGGGTAGGACAGTAAAGGTAAGTACGTAGGAAGGGTAGGATTGTAAAGGTAAGTACGTAGGAAGGGTAGGACGGTAAAGGTAAGTACATAGGAAGGGTAGGACGGTAACGGTAAGTATAACGTAGGAAGGGTAGGACGATAAAGGTAAGTAGGTAGGAAGGGTAGCACGGTGAAGGTAAGTATAACGTAGGAAGGGTAGGACGGTAAAGGAAAGTACGTAGGAAGGGAAGGACGGTAAAGGTAAGTACGTAGGAAGGGTAGGATGGAAATAATATCCTAGAGCAATTTTTTTTTAATTTACTGATATATCGTTTATTTGCATGCGTGAGCTTGTGCCCACACCCCTTAATTAAAATAAATTATTAAAGCTTAAAAAAAGATGCATAACAATACCAAAATTTTAGCTTACAGAGATCATCCTATCACATAATGTTATAAAACAAATTTAAAAGTTTTTAGTTTTTAAGGAATCGTCATATTATTCACATATTGAGAGTTGAGAGGTAAACGATCCACAATTTTCGGTTATACTTCTCGACCCATCAAATGCCAAATCTTGTGCAGGGTTACCTACAAAGGACGAGACAATACAGACGACCTAAAGCTTTATGAATACGATGATTTTAAGGTTGAAAAGTCTTCTGTCCTGAATTTTGTCGTTTAATAACTTATTTTTCCAAAGAACGAACCTAACTTTAAGTTTAAGGGAATCATGAATATAAGGAAACAGGCGGTATATAAATTTCTTTCCGTCCTCTCAGAAATCTCGTCCTTTGTGGATAACCCTGTATATAAAGTTAGATCATCAAAACTTAAAGAATATACCAGTGTGTATTACTGTGTTATATTTGTTAACTATAGCCTGCCAAACCATAACACTTGAGAGAAATATGTTTAAAATGTAACAATCCCCCCCCCTCCACAACATACATATTAATCTTTTCTGTTTATTGCTTTTTTCAGCCAAATAGATTGTCAAGTAAAATAGATGGCAACGTAGAATTTGTACACTCTCAGTACAACTGTATTCTGATGTCACAAGTGTCAATTCAGTTTTTGTGTCCGACAAAATTATCAATATTAGTGATAATTTTAGATCTAAGCGCTTATCTTACAGACAAAAGTTTAATTCTTTGTGCTCTTAATTTTCTGTTTTTACACTTTTTTATTTAATCTTGGAAAACATGTCGACTAATGTCTTTGTTATATTTGACACTTGTGACGTCATGCATAATTGGTTCTTTTCTCTGTTGCCACCTATTGTACTTGATAATCTATTTGTTCTTCAGCTAAAGTTTAACAAAAGTGAATTGGCACTGAAAATTATACAATCCGTGAATCCCCTAGAGCTTAACAGTTTGCGCTAAACATGCTTCAAGTTCATATTCTATGCTGTTCTATAATGCATTGAATTATTGACTTTCAAAAAACATATTCATTTCAACCAACATATTCATTTTAACCAATTCAAATTCCTTATTAGTTAAACCAATTCTTATCTATTTCAACCAATTCATATTTATTTCAACCAATTCATATTTATTTCAACCAATTCATANTTTCTTTCGAAAAAATTGCGCAAAAGTTTTTTTTAGTGCGATGGGTTTTCGACAAGGCTATCATATTCGGCCTTGTTAACAAAATATGAGATTTTAGCATAAACAAATATTCTTAAAGGGGGTGTTCATGAAAAATGAAAGGGGGGAATTGGCTTAATGCGAAAAAAAGTGCTTTTGATCGCTACTAATCTTACTTCTATCTGTGGCGTCTATAATGAGAAAATTGTTAAAAACGACTCACAGCGAAGAACGCAGCGTCCATACAAATTCAGAAAGATGCAACGTTCAACTCGGATCGTAAACAAATCAATTTAATTCCGAACAAATCATTCAGATATTACAATGGAAATTATGAAAATGTCGTCTTCATTATCAAAAATCCTCGAAACAGGAAATTTTTTTTTAAAAGTAACTCTCAGATCATGAAAAATACAAAATATTATGAAATATCAACTATTGCTGTAATAAGAAGCGTCCTTCCCGCGCGCTTCACGACAATTAACAAAAGTACCTTGTCCACCGTCACCAAAGCAATATTGACGTTATTTTACCTGTTAATAAAAATGTATAACTTAAAAGTATAAACATGTTGATTTATCAGAAGATTAAAAAGCGAAGATGTCTTCCTGGTTGTTCTTCAGGGTAATAGGTAATTTCCTAGAGAACGATTTTAGGACTAAAATTTAAAAAAAATGCCCCCAATTAAAATTTCTTTTTCAAATTCTACTAACACATTTGCCCCAATTTGGTAAATTTAAAAAAATGCCCCCAATTAAAATAAAATTTCAAATTCCACTAACACATTTGCCCCATTTGCCCCCAATTATAAAAAAATGCCCCCAATTACAAAAAATGCCCCCAATTATAAAACATTTTTCAAATTTCAGAAGTAAGAAAAGGACAAGATGAAAGATGAGAATACGAAGAAGGATAAGGATAAGAAGAAAGATAAGAGTACTATGTATGATAAGGTTCAGAAGAAAGATGATAATACGAAGTAGGATAAGGTTAAGAAGTAGGATAAGGATAAGAATTAGGATAAGGACAAGAATAGATGGGAATACGAAGAAGGATAAATATAAGGAAAAGAAGTAAAATAAGTATAAGAAGTTAGTCAATGATAAGAAGGATAAGGATAAGAAGAAGGATAAGGATAAGAAGTAGGATAAGGATAAGAAGTAGGACAAGGATAAGATGTAGGATAAGGAGAAGAAGTAGGATAGGGAGATAAAGTAGGATAAGGAAAAAAAGTAAGTCAAAAGTAAAAATCTTATAATAAAAGGGGAAAAGGGTAAAACGATCTTAAAATAAAAAAGTAAAAGATCTTATAATAAAAGAGTAAAAAGATCTTATAATAAAAGAGTAAAAATATCTTATAATAAAAAGTAAAAAGATCTTATAATAAAAGATCTTATAAAAAGTAAAAAGATCTTATAATAAAAGAGTAAAAAGATCTTATAATAAAAGAGTAAAAATATCTTCTAGTAAAAGAGTAAAAATATCTTATAATAAAAGAGTAAAAAGATCTTATAAGAGAGTAAAAAGATCTTATAATAAAAGAGTAAAAATATCTTATAATAAAAAGTAAAAAGATCTTATAATAAAAGATCTTATAAAAGAGTAAAAAATCTTATAATAAAAGAGTAAAAAGATCTTATAATAAAAGAGTAAAAATATTTTATAGTTAAAGAGTAAAAATATCTTATAATAAAAGAGTAAAAATATCCATAATAAAAGAGTAAAAAGATCTTATAATAAAAGAGTAAAAATATCTTATAATAAAAACATTTGTTTTTTCTTCAAAACATCAAACTTACATTTTAAATTCTTAATATCTTGCTTCGAAAAAGGAGACAGATACTCGCCAGTTAAATGTTTTGAAGATACGTTGTATAAAACTATGAGCTTTATACTTCGGCACAAAATGATCCACAGATATCTTATAAAATAATGTATTTTTTTTTATTTTTAGATTAAATACAAACAAAAACATTATCATGAATTACACAAAAAGAAACTAAGCACTCAAACTATATGATTGTCTAATTTTTATATCTATTTAACCTAAAATGGTGAAAAGCTTTGACTTTTAGACCAAGCAGATCACTTCTTTTGAAATATCAAAGGCCAGTGATATAAGATATAAGGGCACAGTCACAGTAAAGTTAAAGGCAGATGCAGTTCTTTAAATAATAAAAATACTATAATCTCACAATTTTAGCCTAAAAGAGTTGTTTAACATGAATAATCTGAACTCTACTTATTTGTCATTTGGGTGAACAAAAACCTAATCTAAATGAGACAAAAACCTAATCTAAATGAGACAAAAATATTTGATGTTCAATCCAAGGTTTTCAAAGTCTCAGAGAAAATATATAATTTAAGAAAGAAAAGAAAATTATGAAATTTTAAACTGCACTCTAAAAAATAAAATAAAAAAATTTATATAAATCTTTCACAAGGTTAAAATGGACGAACTATACATTAACAAAATTCAGATACTTATGTTGATAAAGCTAATAAATCTAAATTTAGTATACCTTAAATTAAGCTACAGGGTGTCCCAAAAAACATGGGAATTCAGTGACGAATTCGATATCGTCTTTGTTATGAATTAGCATTGTAATACCTAATTTCAAAAGCCATAATATTATTATGTCNGCCTAACCTAACCCTAAAATAATAAAAATAAATAATAATAATTTTGCAGCAATTATGTACAAAATTGATGGGGGGTCCAAGAATCGTTCTCTATGATAGACCCGGGTATTAAGTACCGTTGTGAATGCAACTATTTTATGCGGGATCAATTGAAATTACGTTGACAATCCTTTTAATATGATTATTGAGTCAACAAACATTTAAAAAAAATCCCAGTTTATTAAATTATTCCTTGAATTCTCAAAACAATTTAATAAGATACAATTTTCACGACATTTGCTAAACATCTCCTAAAATTAATTGTATGCTCAAAATAAATTGTATTACCTATGTTATTCTTCTGCAAGAATAAAATTACGACCCGGCATTGAAATCACAAGGTTAACACTATTCAACGGTCAGACGTTGACTGGTTAACCAATTCATATTTATTTC